AATGCCATTCTCATCATTATTCACACAGCCGTAACACATCTGGACAAGAGAAACACCTATGTGAGAATGCTGTTCATTGACTACAGTTCAGCATTCAACACTATTGTTCCCTCAAAGCTTGACACCAAGCTCAGATCCCTGGGTCTGGACACCACCCTCTAAAACAACTGGATCCTGGACTTCCTGATGGGCAGACCACAGGCTGTGAATATTGGCAATAACACCTCATCCACACTGACTCTTAACACAGGGGCCCCGCAGGGGTGTGTCCTCAGCCCTCTGCTGTGCTTCCTGTTCACCCACGACTGTGTGGCTTTGCACAACAACCAACTCAATCATTAAGTTTGCTGAAGACACCATGGTTGTAGGTCTGATAACCAACAACGACGAGTCAGCCTATAGGGAGGAGATAAGTGAACTGGCAGCATGGTGCCAGGACAACAACCTCTCCTTCAACGTCAGAAAAACAAAGAAGTTGATTGCTGACTTCAGGAAGCAGAGAAGGGAACATGCCGCGATCCACATCAACGGGACTGCAGTAGAGAGAGTCAGCAGGTTTAAGTTCCTCTGCGTCCACATCACTATGGACTTGACATGGACCAACAACAGCCCAACTATTGTCAAGAGGGCGCAACAGCGTCTACTTCCTAAGGCGGCTGAAGAAATTTGGCATGCCACCCCAGGTCCTCTCCACACCTAACCCCCCCCCCCCCCCCCCCCCCCCGAGCAAGAGGACAAATACATTAGTGTCTAGTTTGAGAAATAGACGCCTCACAGGTCCTCAACTGGAAGCTTAATTAAATAGTACCCACAAAACACCAGTCTCAACGTCAACAGTGAAGAGGCGACTCCGGGATGCTGACCTTCTAGGCAGAGTTGCAAAGAAAAAGCCATATCTCAGACTGTTGCTACCAGACTTATGATTGCTAAATACTGCACTATTTAAACAGTTGCCCCACAATCCCCATTCCCCAATACAAGTATAAATATTGGACTATAAATTGTCTTCCTGTATTATGCTTATGCAAAACAAAAGTATTCTATTCTACTGGGCTGTTTTTTTATTATTTCTTATTGTTGGTTGCATTGTCGAAGGAACCTACAAGTAAGCATTTCGTTGGACAGTATACCATGTGTATCCCGTACAGACGACTAATAAAACGCTCAGCGTTCAACACCATAGTGCCCTCAAAGCTCATCACTAAGCTAAGGACCCTGGGACTAAACACCTCCCTCTGCAACTGGATCCTGGACTTCCCGACAGGCCGCCCCCAGGTGGTAAGGGTAGGCAACAACACATCTGCCACGCTGATCCTCAACACTGGGGCCCCTCAGGGGTGCATGCTTAGTCCCCTCCTGTACTCCCTGTTCACCCACGACTGCGTGGCCAAGCACGACTCCAACACCATCATTTAGTTTGCCGACGATACAACAGTGGTAGGCCTGATCACTGACAACGATGAGACAGTCTATAGGGATGAGGTCAGAGATCTGGCAGTGTGGTGCCAGGACAACAACCTCTCCCTCAATGTGAGCAAGACAAAGGAGCTGATCGTGGACTACAGGAAAAGGAGGGCTGAACAGGCCCCCATTAACATCGACGGGGCTGTAGTGGAGCGGGTCGAGAGTTTCAAGTTCCTTTGTGTCCACATCACCAATTTACTATCATGGTCCAAACACACCAAGACAGTCGTGAAGAGGGCAGGACAACACCTTTTCCCCCTCAGGAGACTGAAAAGATTTGGCATGGGTCCCCAGATCCTCAAAGTTCTACAGCTGCACCATTGAGAGCATCCTGACCGGTTGCATCACCGCCTGGTATGGCAACAGCTCACCATCCGACCGTAAGGCGCTACAGAGGGTAGTGCGTACGGCCCAGTACATCACTGGGGCCAAGCTTCCTGCCATCCAGGAACTATATACTAGGCGGTGTCAGAGGAAGGCCCAAAAAATTGTCAAAGACTCCAGTCACCCAAGTTATAGACTGTTCTCTCTGCTACCGCATGGCAAGTGGTACCGGAGCGCCAAGTCTAGGTCCAAAAGGCTCTTTAACGTCTTCTACCCCCAAGCCGTAAGACTGCTGAACAATTAATCCAAAAGCCACCCAGACTATTTACATTTGATTTGATTTTGATTTGACACACGGCTGAAATGCTGTTTCAGCATATCAGCATCCAGGACCTGAACTACCCAGTTCATAAGAGGTATAGAACACTACGTTTGTTCCGTCTTCTCTCTGAAGTTACACAGCCAGCTTCCTTGTCACACGAGAAGACAAATCCATAATTTTACCTCTGGCATGCTTGTGAATTTTTCTGTATTGTTTTATCTTCTCTGAGTACTCTGTCCCAAACTCCCAAGCGTCTGCCCGAAAAATCTAGAGGATGTCTTTAAGTCATTGACCCAGTACAAACAACCATGTATCCAAATTCTGTCTCCTCACCCAACAATGGCAGGACCTGTGAACCTCTAAATATATTATAAGCTGTTGATGAGTGTGTTCTTCAGGCCACCTGGCCCGGATGCGGGTGACTTGGACTTGGTCAGTAAGGGTTTTCTTGGCTCAGCATGGCAAGGCTCTGACTGCCTCTGTCCTGGATGTTCCCAGTTTGGCCCTGCAGCCTCATCATGGACTCATTTCCATGTTTACTCTGTGTGACAAAATAGTCTGATTTGGGCTTGAATTTCTTTTTTTTTCAAATGATTGGCAAAATTGAATGTTGCCAACTCTGCTCAGCTCTTACCAAACATCCTCTTCTTGAAGTCCTACAGATGGCAGTGCAGGGTTAGGTTGGGTCGAGGCAGGCTACTGCTCTGAGCTGGGGCCAACGGTGGCTTCTCACCACCACCTAACAGTCCTAACCAGAGTCCTCAAATAGAGGGGCTTTTTATGGTGCACAGTGGAGCTTTTCCAACCAAAATCAACCCTCCCTGCCAGCTTCACCCCATACATAAACCATGCAGTGATGTGAATGGGATCGTAATGACTTCGAACTGCCTGACAGAATTTCTGTCATACCTTTAATTTAGTTAAATAATTGTGAAGTTCACAAGTCCCATTGTCAAACACGTCCCTTCTTACCTGCTTCAGATTGGCAAGTGCTGGTTAAGTGCTAGGCTGCATGCATTACTCACAATCCTAAGCCATTGTGTGTATTCAGAGTCCACCCATAGAAATAGAATTGGAACACCACTCTGGTCAAAGTAGTGCACTGCATAGTGAATAGAGACTTGCTGTGAGGATCAGCCTTTTATAAGAGAACCCCTTCCTAGCAGAGAAGTTCCTTCAATTAAATTACATTACTCTCTAGGAAGAGAATGGTCTCTCCGGTCTTATTCAATCAGACTACGTTGGGTGCTACTTACTTACAGGAAAAGGGATACAGTATTATAATGCTGGTGACAAAAGCATACTGGTGCAGTAAGATACCTTTTTGATTCTAAGGATCAGTGTTGAGCTTTGTTAAGTCTCTGCAAAACTATCCCTCATACAGTGTCTCATTTGATATTTAGTTACATATGTGTAAGCACTAGTTTTTTAATTGTTTTATTTAACCAGGTAAGCCATTTGAGAACAAGTTCTCATTTACAACTGTGACCTGGCCAAGATAAAGCAAAGCAGTGCGATAACAACAACAACAACACAGAGTTACATATGGGGTAAACAAAACAAAGTCAAAAATACAACAAAATATATATACAGGGTGTGCGAATGTAGTAAATTATGGAGGTAAGGCAATAAATAGGCCATAGTGCAAAATAGTTACAATTTCGTATTAACACTGGAATGATAGATGTGCAAAAGATGATGTGCAAATAGAGATACTGGGGTGAAAATTAGCAAAATAAATAACAATATGGGGATGAGGTAGTTGGATGGGCTAATTACAGATGGGCTGTGTACAGGTGCAGTGATCGGTAAGCTGCTCTGACAACTGACGCTTAAAGTTAGTGAGGGAGGTAAGTCTCCAGCTTCAGAGATTTTTGCAGTTCGTTCCAGTCAATGGCAGCAGAGAACTGGAAGGAATGGTGGCCAAAGGAGGTGTTGGCTTTGGGGATGACCAGTGAGATATACCTGCTGGAGCGCAGACTACGGGTGGGTGTTGCTATGGTGAGCTAAGATAAGATGGGGATTTGCCTAGCAGTGATTTATAGATGACCTGGAGCCAGTGGGTTTGGCGACGAATATGTAGTGAGGGCCAGCCAACCAGAGCGTACAGGTCACAATGGTGGGTAGTATATGGGGCTTTGGTGACAAAACGGATGGCACTGTGATAGACTACATCCAATTTGCTGAGTAGAGTGTTGGAGGCTATTTTGTAAAACTAAGCACAGTGTAAGGTTATCTGTTATTGACAGCTTGTGTGTGTGTGAGAGAGAAAGGGAGAAGATATGTTTTACATTCTTCCAAGATGTTTATAAGATATTTCTGTTTATTCGACAGTCTTCAAGATGCACATTAGGCCTTGAGCTGGACTTCACACATGGATGAACCCAGAACCATTTATTTGTGCAATAAGGATCAACTGCACCAATGGCTGAAGATGCACACATTTACAGAAATGGCCAAGGTATTGTACAATTGTTGTTTCTGTCCTTACCTAAGTGGTGTCCTTGTCATTCACTGAGGTTGTGAAGGAGTTGTAACCCTGTGAACGACAGTGAACTACTGATAACCAGAATTCTGATATGCATAGTTAGTCAATATCCTTATGTAAGTCAGCAGCTGAAATATTTGTAAAAGGAGCGAGTGTATAGAATGAATGCCAAGAAAATGGTTGGGCAATATAATTACTTGCACAGTAATTATAGAGTTCAGTTGGTCCAGTCTAAGTAGAGAGGCTTACTGATTGGAGGGTTCTGTCGGCCAATAACATTCCATTCTGTGTTGGTGTAGTCTACTCTATTGGCCGATCTCATTTTACCTCCTCATTGGAGAGGATAGGGTATAGTCAGAAAAGTTAGGAGAGGCAACAATTTTAATACAGGGAGGAGAGAACATGGACAACATAATACCATGTAGGCCTACTGCATTGAGGATGACGTGTGACTTTTAGGTAAGGCTGATGCCACTCAGTACTGTTCAATTTGAAAAATGACTGTCATTTCTTGAACTTGTATCTTCCTTTTATTTGCCTTACAAACTATGTACAGACTTGCTGAAGTGAGAAACTGACGTATGAATATTCTTGGTTAGAGTTAGCCAAATATGTCTAAAGAATATATATGTCTATAATCTGTATTCTAAAGAAAAATATCTAAAGAATCTTGATGCAGACAATGAATGAATTAATTTAATAAATGTATTCAAATTGAATGCTTTTAGTTCTAGGTCATCGGATGACAAATCAAATACTGGTATGTCTAGGCCTATTGCATTCAATCTTTCTTGCAAACTAACAGTAGTTCTACATGATACAATTTAACATACCTTTGCCTTCTACATTTAATTGAATCATGATTTCTACCCTTTGTTTGATACCAGGGAGAGCTCTCAGGAATCTGATCATTTCCACATTCCTGCCTGCTGTCTTTCATTTCCTCATACCAACCAACCCAATGTTTTGTTTAATATGTCTTCATGAATTCATCAGCCATAACATAACTTCCTGCTTTCTTCTCCTCTGGTCCTGATGGTAGAACATGTACAACTGAACAATAAAGTAATTCTCTTTATCTATCTTCTACCAGCTAACAGAGGAAGGTCAGTCAGTGCTACTGAGGAGAGCGCTCCCTACTGTCTGGAGACACCTTACGGCTACCAGCTGGACCTAGACTTCCTCAAGTACGTGGACGACATCCAGAACGGCTCCACAATTAAGAGGCTGAGCCTGAGCAGGAAGCCCCCCAGGGCGACCAACCGTGAGGCAGAAGCGCAGAGTGGCACCACACCCAGTCAATCATGGACCTCCTCGGAATCCCTGTCCTCGGCGAGTAGTGATGACACGCGGGTGAGTCAGTCTGCCATGTCGACCGTGAACCGAGGGAGACCCCCTCTTCCTCCACCCCACGGGGCCTCTACCACCAGCAGCACCACCCCCTCTAGTCAGGAGGGGTCCTCCGTCCCTCTGAAACCCCAAGAGGGGAAGCCTGCGCCGGCCGTCCGCTCCCTCTCCACCCCCAGGTTCAACCCTCTAGTGGAGAAGACCCTGTTGGAGACCCGTAGGCGCTTGGAGCAGGAGAAAACCTCCAGCACCACCCCAGCCCATCCCCACCCTGAGCCCCATCCCCGCCGGCGGCTAGCCAGCTTTGGGGGAGTGGGCTCCAGTGGCTCCCTGTCCGCCTTCACCAGCTGGGGCTCCTACAACCAGAACAACAGCGGAAATGTCAACAAGCCCCATGCTGAAGGTGAGCTTTTCCTGCCCCTATCCCTCCACCACGGCTCTTCCCTGGGCAGCGGAGGGTCCCTGAGACCCAGCCCCCAGAGCTCTGGCAGGGACACCCCAGTCACGGGCCTCAGCCCCCTGCACCTGCAGCATGTCAGGGACCAGATGGTGGTCGCTCTCCAGAGGCTGAAGGAGCTGGAGGAACAGGTGAACATTGAATTAAATAGAACACTAGAATGGAAATTGGCATCAGGGCTAAAATGTCAGCCATCTTGGTCAGAGAATCTTTCATTCTAGAAACTGACTTAATGTGGTAAAATAGAAGTATAAAAAGCTATTGTGTGTTTCAATCCCAGTATACATTTTTTATGTTAAATGAGAAATTGTTCACAAATATGTTCACAAATATGAGTATAATGATTTTGTAGATATACTTGCACACTATGTTAGTTAGTTAGCTAGTCAGTCAGTTTTAGTTGGCTGATTTTAATGTATCTCTATGCAGGTGAGGAGCATCCCTGTTCTACAGGTGAAGATCTCTGTCCTCCAGGAGGAGAAAAGACAGCTGGTCTCTCGGATGAAGAATCAGAACCAACAAGAGCTGAGTGACATGTTCCGGAAAAGAGCCCACAGCACGGGCAGCGGCGGTCGGTTCCGGGTTGGGGTTGGGAAGGGCTCTGAACTTCTAGGGAAACCTGAAGATGGGCTGGAGAACAAGGCAGAGCACAACAGTGCCTCCTCTGGCCTGAAGGAGTTCCAGCAGCTGACTGCTGAGATGGAGGCTTTGGAGAGGACCATCAAGGGCGGTCGCCTGCAAGCACGGCATGGCCTGAACCAGAACACATTACGCAGCAACAGCAGAGCTCACAAATCAGTAGCCATCGGCATTGATGAAGACTTGGACGCCATCTTAGACGCCAGGTCCTCAAAACAACACAGGGACGTCACCGTGGAGACCAAGCCCACAGACACACGATGCGTAGCAATGGGTGTAACTGAGGCCCACCTCGTTGTCACCGCGGATAAGGAGGTGGAGCTAGATGCCCAGCAGCGAATCATAGAAGCCCTGAAGGAGAGGGTGTGTCAGTTGGAGGCAGAGGTAAAGGAGTCCACCCTGCAGACGGAGATGGGCAGGCTGAAGCTGGAGCTACAGGCGGCTGGGGCTAGGAATAAGGCTGATAAAGGCTCCACCGCCAGGCCATCCACCCACAGCACCTCCACAGCCACGGAGGCCCCGGAGGCCAGGCCCAAGGCCCAGACCAGGAGCCTGGGGGTGGGCAACCACACAGAGGTCCAGGATGCCTCCGCTGGAGGTAGGCTGGAGGTGGAGGGGTGGGGCTGTAGTGTTGGAGTGTCCTGTAGGCCGGAGCTGAGGAGTGTGAGCTCAGGACCAGAGTTACCGATGACTTGGTGGGTGGTCAGAGAGCGAGTGGAGACCCGGGACCAATGTGTTGGGAGACGGGTGGTGATGGTCACCCAGGGTGTGGGGACAGGGGTGAGGGTGTGTGAGGCAGGAGTCAACACAGATCTGACCATGGAGAGTTTGGCTGCAGCGAGAGGATGGAAGATGGGGGAGTGTCAGATGGTGTCGGTGGGGAGCGGGGACTGTGCGGTCGATGACGTGATGACGAGTGCTGTAAAGGAGGTCGGCATGGCAACCGACCCTCCAGTCAGAGGGGTGGATTCAGGTGTCATGGTGTCACCTCAGACGGTCTCCCAGCGCACCAACACATCACCAACACTCAGCTCGGTCTCCCGTTTCACAAACACCTGCCGCTCGTTCAACACCAACTCCAGCACCAACACCGTGCTCAACACCCAGGAGAAACACACCAACACCGCGCAAACCGTCACCCGGAACATCGCTGTCGGCAACGGCAGGGTCCTAGAGTTAATCCAGGCCGTCACTAAGACCCGCTCGGTCGGCGTCGGCACGACCACGCCATGGGGAGGAAACGCAGAACAACAACCAACCCAAACCACCACGGCGGTGGCCGTCGCCAAGGCAATGACCAGAGACGCTGGGGTCGGGATGACTAACGTGAATGACAACTTCCTGGTTGGACTGAAGGCCCGGAACATCGCATGTGGTCCTTCCTGTCTCCCCGACCCCACCAAGACCAGGAGTATTGGGATCGGGGTGGGCGAGGGGCGCATACGGGACCTTGCAGGACCACCATCTCTGACACAGACCTCCACACAGACATCCCACTCTCCCCAGGCCCAGGGTCAGTCCCAGTTAGAGCCTGGTCTGGACCACTACATAGAGAAGATGCAGTGTCTGCTGAGGGAGCAGCAGGGCCTGCTGACTGAGAGCTACAGTGAACTGGGAGATGTGTTCATCCAGCCGGGGTCAGACACCACCACCCTCAGCACGTCACCCATCAACTCTGCCATGACACAGGGAGGCACGGAGGGCAGGCCGCTACCCTCACAATCCACAGGTATGGATATAGTCTGTCTAGTCTTTACACTCACAGTTCGCATCTGCGGTGGGTATTTTACTATGGATAATTGTTTTGTATTTATTATTTTGTATCATGGACACAATAATCCAGTGAGTGATTTCTTCCTATCTCCCTGTCTCTCCCTTCTCTCCGTCTCCCTTATACAGATTGTGTACAGTCCCAGTCCATCGCAGGGCCCGGCCTGCTCACTGACACCTCACCTCAGAGAAACACAGAAAGGTCAGGGGTCAGCCAGCATGTCACTAAGGAGTCAGAGGTCAAGCAAAATATAATACGAGTAGAACACCAAACTTCCTCTGCATTGCATGGTAAGTGTGTTTGTTTTTTGGGTATGTATGCATGTGTGAGTTTGTTTGTGTGCATGTAAGGGGTTGAATGCAGTTGTATCCCTGCTGTGCCTCTAAATAGTTCCATAATGTTGATGGGGTGAGAGCGGGAGAAATACAGAGAAAAACAGAAACTAAAGGAGTATTCTGCTGTCAGACCGCTCACTAGAAGAATCCTGGCCTCTTTGAACCAGTAGAACCATGGAGGAGGAAATAGCTCTTTCTCTGGTTTGGCCTTGGATCTGGAAGACCTACTATTGAAATATTTGGGCTGATGCTGGGTTTGGGAAAGCACACATCTCTCACTACACAGCGGTCTGTGGCTGACAGGCTGGGGCTGAAATTGTATGTCTATGTATGAGTGTTTGTATATGTGAGAGTGTACTTTCTTTAGAAAGTACTAGGTGAAGTAGACATTCAATAAGTTATCTAACTTCTCAGAACTTCACAGCAATCAAATTATAATTAATTGGGAAACATTAGCTAGGAGAGGCAGGACAAGGCCGCTGTCAATCTACAGAAATACTGAGAGAGGAACAAATACATCCGCTTTATATTAACCCTCCAGGTCAGCCCACTAACGCCAACATGCTGAGGTCCATCATGAAGAAACAAGATGGTGACCGAGGCTACACTGGAACCAGGAAGAGCCTGAAGTTTGTGGGCTTGACCACAGGGTGAGGGTCTGATATGTACTCTTATTTTACTCTGATCAGACTTTGATATATCATGTTTCACTGGTTATAATCAGCTCATTATTTCTGAGTTCTCAGTGTCTGTGTGTTGGCTGCAGGTTTGAGTCCACATATCATGGGTTTAACATATTTAGTTTGTGTTAGCTATGGCCTAGTAGAGGAAAGCTTGTAATGGCTGCAGGTGTGAGTCCATGTCCACTAGTGAACCATCCAGCTCTGAAGAAGAGGAGAAGAGCGGGAGGTGGATGGAGGTCTCAGGCCTCCAGGATCGGAGCCGAATGGACCAGGGCCGGAACAAAGGGGTGGCCAACAGGGAATGTAGTGGCCATGGGAGGATGGAGATACAGGAGAGGTGAATACGGTAGTTCTGTTTTGAATTCAAACCATGGTTTTAGGGAATATACTTAACTTAGGCCCATCTCTCCTCAGAGACCATAAGCCATCAATAACTTTGCATCGTACTCTGGGAATTATTCTCCAGCTTGTTCAGGGTATATAGTTATTGTGCAATTAGTACATTAAATAACTAGGTCCTCTCCCTACAGGTTTCAGTTGAGTGAGAAGATGTTGTCAGCTTGCCATGCACTGAAGACCCATCTGAGTGACGACCAGGTTTTATCCAGCAGAGAACTGGTGAGTACTGCTAAACAGAGAGGTCAGTGGCACAAGTAGAGTGAATGGAAGCGTGTATGTATGAATGTGTCTTTGTTTGTTTCTGTTAACAAGAATGTATGGGAATGGTCATAAACAATACTGTATGTCTCTAGTCTTTATAAGTGTAATGTTTAATGACTACAATTGTGACTTTTGGAGCTATCTAATTGCCTGTGTCCCTTTTGATTCATCATACATGAATTTATGAAACCATATAAATGTTGGCACGTTGTCAACTCGATGTCTCGGAATGTAAACTAGAGGAAGAAATACTTTATAACTGAGGAATGTGCCGACTCCTGTAATTTTCAGCCCTCTGGTAGTGTTTCTGGGCAGGGACTTCAAGGCCTGGTTGTGTATGAGTTACAGAGGGCTCTCTCTGTGTTCCACCCAGACGACAACATCTGGCTCTGTCTGGATTCGCCTTTTGAATCCTAACTAACTTTGACGCCACCATATGTTTTCCACATCATCTGCTTTTTATCTTGTCATTGTGACTGGTTGAGTGATAGAAAACAGGAGGAGAAAGAAGAGCAGGGGTGTAATCATTAGTCCAAAGAGTTCCAAAACGGAACGTTTTGCAACTAAAATTAGAGTTTCTACTGGACAAATTCAGGTAGGTCCCTCCCCCATTTCGTTCCATTTGCTTCCGTTTTAAGAAATGTTTTGCAACAGAGTTGGTATAATAAATACACCCCAGGGGAGAAAGAAGAGCATGGATGGGGAGACTGAGAGTTTAAGGACGAGTGAGTGACAGATTAAAAGGAAGATCTAGACTGAAGCAGTCAGAGAGAATCAGAGAAGGAAGTAGAGAGAGAGTAGATCTTATCCACACAGTGTTCTGATATGCTAGCATAGGGCTGTTCAATTCTGGTCCTGAAGAGCCGAAACACTTCTGGTTTTCGTTTCTTCCTGGTAGTTAATTGCACTCACCTGATGTCCAAGGTCTAAGTTAGTCCCTTTTTACAAGGAGAGGATGAAAACAATAAGTATTTCGGCCCTCCAGGACCGACATTGAACCGCCCTGTGCTAGACCAACCATGTGATCCCCTTGTCCACTTCTCCTAGTCCTAACCATACCTAGTGTTTTGAACACCACTCGAAATGCCCTGGGCACTAGTCCCTGAAATAGTTATTTTTGTGGTGAGAGGGAAGTTGTGGATGATCTGAAACTGCCATCAGCAGTCAGTCACAGTCCTCTCCCTACGGAAGAGGGTTTGGTGAGGTCAAAGGAACTGAAGTATTGGCTGATTTGGGTTCTGTTTATTTTCATTCAGTAATGACCCTATAATTACAACATGTCTCTGGTTATTCACAGTTCAAATTGCTGTGCACACACTGCATAATGGAGGGTTGCTAAATTACAGTACTGTGTGTTTGTCCTGACTTTGACAATAACGCCTGTTTTTGCTTTTTCCAAATTAAAAATACTAATGCTTGACAGTGTGGCTTTGTGTTTGGGTGCATTAGTTTTAGCTCACCCTGGTGTGCAGGGTTTGGACATTTAGACCATTCCATTGGTTCTTAAGTGGAATCTCTGCCTGTCTGGGCTAAACGAATTCACCCAATGTAGATCTCTACTAGGAGTGTGTGTATGTCATAAATGTTTGTGCGCCCATACATGTGTTGGTTGACGTCCTGCTTAGTATGTATTATCCTGTGTCCCACCCTCAGCGGTCCTGCCTCAACATGCTGCAGCACGAATGGTTCCGTGTGTCCAGTCAGAAGTCAGCTGCTCCGGCTGTGGTGGGGGACTATTTAACGGCGTTCCGGTCGGTCTCTCCAGCCGTGCTGAGACACGTAGCCAACATGGCGGACGGTAACGGTAACACAGCACTCCACTACAGCGTGTCCCACTCCAACTTCACCGTGGTAAAAAGGATGCTGCTGGCAGGTACTGATTCTGACTCAGACCTGAACCTGACTACCATTTTAACCTCTCACTCATATGATGTTCTGTTGAGTACATTAATCTAAAATGTGACCAGGTTGCGGGATACTCTGAAAGAACACATGGTTTTGACTGAGCTACCCATAGTGTTATTTTTAATTCCGTGCCATTGTTTTGTCACCTTTCCTCTTTGGCCTCCATTCCAGATGTGTGTAATGTGAACCAGCAGAACAAGGCAGGATACACCCCCATCATGCTGGCTGCCTTGGCTGCTGTGGAGGCCCCAGAGGACATGGAGGTGGTGGAGGAGCTCTTCACTAAAGGAGATGTCAATGCCAAGGCCAGCCAGGTATGTGGAGGGCCAGAGGTCTGGGGGAAAATGGGTCGGTCTCTAAATGGTTTTGGACCCTGGGGTTTGTAGTGGGAATTACCTTGTTCTCCAACCCCCAGCCATGCATCTAGCCCTCTGAATTATGTAATATCTTTAGAGACTCTTATCATTTTTGTTGGGATCGATTCCAGACGTTGACAAGTTAAGTCAAAGCTTGTCTGGTCACTGGCTGAGTGTGTCGTCTTCAAGCCCCCGAGTGGCCATCTCTTTGAGTCCATCTGTTTGTTGACCTCTTACCCTTGACCTCCAGGCTGGTCAGACGGCACTGATGCTGGCAGTGAGCCACGGCAGGATGGACATGGTGCGGGCCCTGCTGGCCAAGGGGGCAGAGGTCAACCTTCAGGATGATGAGGGCTCTACGGCTCTAATGTGTGCCAGCGAACACGGCCACGCTGAGATAGTCAGGCTGCTGCTGGCCAAGCCGGGCTGTAACGCCACCCTGAGTGACAGTGTGAGTTACTGTGTGTGTGTTCATGTCTGTGTGTTTGTCACTCACCGTAGCAGACTATCACTGTGTTAGTGTCTCTGTTTGTCTGATTCACTGTTTGTGCCCTGTTTGTTTGTTTGTCTGTCTGTATATGCAGGATGAGAGCACAGCCCTGTCCATAGCTCTGGAGGCTGGACATAAAGACATAGCAGTGCTGCTCTATGCCCATGTCAACTTCTCCAAGGGCCAGGCCGGGGTGGGTAACACGCAATATCTATAGATTGGGTCCCTCAGTTCGTTTTTATACACCTATTCCATACCAACTAATCGTGTGCATGTGGTGTGTGTGTGTCTCCACCCTCTTTTTCATAGGGAACCCCTCGTCTCGGTAGAAATATACCCCCCAGTTCCGTTGGAAGAGGCGTCTTTGAATGAAACTACTCGCAAGCCCCTCAAACCTCCACACTCGCTGCTACACATAGACGTATGCTTAGTGTATGGAATCATTTGTGAAGGTTCTATGTAGCCGTTATAAAGGGTTTATGAAGGCTTCATGAAGCCTGTAAAGTTGTTCGTTTTAAATCGGGATCAAGATGATTCACTCGTATCCAAGCACTCAACAAGAGATCTGAGATCACAAGTGAAAATCTTAGCCTAGTGAAACGAGCAAATTATGTAGCCTATATGGACCACCTTTTCTCTTGTCCAGGTTGACAGCCTGAAACTTATTAGAGGTTACTAGGCAAATCACTCTCCTACAGTAAGTATATCCCCACGACCAGTGGCCTTTCTGTTTAGGAGTTTAATTTAGGAGAATTAAAGGGTTCTGGTATCCTATATCTTTTACATTTTAGTCTCTAGATTGAATACATTGCATATACATGCACATCATTTCATTCTATGCCCTCAAACATGAATATATATGGAAGATATTTTTTGTGATTGTCATTGTATATATCGTATATTTAAGTCCATTGGAAGTACAGTTATGCATTTACAATTAGTATATTAGTGTTAACTATTTCATTGTTTATATAAAATGCTCTGTGCCTTATGCTTTTAAATAATACAATAAACTGAAGTACCTCAATATATTACATGTTATTTGTACCCTTTCTAAATGAACAAGATGGACAGACAGTTGATATTTGTACCTGGTGCCACCTGCTGGGACTTTCTGGTTGAACAGCTTCAGAACAGCACTGTGTGAGAAACAGAACTCTGTAATGTTTCTTCTTGGTGGTGCTATGGTGAATGATTATCATGAGATAACGCAACAGGAAAACATTTCTACATTGTTAAAACCAACACATGCCGCTGATGCCGGGGAGTATCAGGTGAATGCTACATGCCGGAAAGGTTTAGTTTTAGCAATACAGAAGCCGCCTCAATTTCGCTTCCTTTGTCCTAGAGAGGCTGAATGTTTTATTATCTTCTGTTTGCTCTTCTGTTCCCCTTGGTCCGAGGTCGAGGAAGTAGTGCTAGCAACAGGATTCATTTGTGAATGCCATCACAGTATTTCTCTGACTCACTCAGTAGGGCCTCACATACTTTTTCTAATTGTTATAGCAGTATTGTCTGCAACAAACCATTCATCTGGGGCCCTCACCTCTAAATGGTTGTTGTCTGGTTCGTTTTCTCTCCTTCAGAAGCTAACAGAGAGTGAGGGCAACTCCGACTGTGGAAATGTTGCTTGAGGTAAGAGGATGCAAGTATTTTGTGCAAACCTTATATCCCTCCCTCCCACCTCCAGAATTGACAGCCTGCCCCCATTAGAACTTATACAGAGCCCATCCCTTCCACTGTTCTCCAAAACGCTGAGAAATGTGTCACCTTAACAGTGAAATGTGGTCTGGAACTTTGGAAGTGAGTGATGGTGATTAACAATTTCCCCCTCATTAAACTGAGAGATTAAATCTAGCCATTTGCAGACTGGCTTTTATCCAAGCGACTAGGTCTGCGTGCATACATTTTTTTTGTGTAATGTGGTCCCGGGATCGAACCCTACCTTGGCGTTACAAGCCATGCTCTACCAGCTGCTACAAGGGACCACATTATACGCAGATACTTCCTCGTTCATCTCCATCCTTGGCTGTGTCCCATATGGCATCCTATTCCCTTTTATAGTAGTTGTAGGAATATAGTAGGAAATTATATAGCCCATAGCTTTCTGGTCAAAACAAGTGCACTACATTGGTTGCGGTGTGTGTGTGAGAGAGAGAGAGAGAGAGCGAGAGAGACGTCTTTGTGTGTGAGAGAGAGAAAGAGAGCGGTCTTGTTTGTGTGTGTTTGAGAGAGATTGCTTGAGCGTGTCCCTCAATTCCATCTTCTCAGATCCCAAATGTGGGTAATAATTGCACCGGTATCTGTGCATGTCTGTGTGTCTAATATCATGTACGTGTGTCTTCGGGCCTCCGTGTGTGTACCTGTGTGTGTGATTCCATCTTTTGAACAAAATTACCATTAAATCCATTTTAATCCCACTTTGTAACACAACAAAATGTGGAAAAAGTAAAAGGGTGTGAATACTTACTGAAGGCAGTGTATACACACTATCAGGACTCTCCAACCCTGTTCCTGGAGAGCTACCCTCATGTAGGTTTTCCCTCCAACCCCAGTTGTAACGTTACCTGAGTCAGTTTATCAACCAGCTAATTATTAGAATCAGGTGTGCTAGATTAGGGTTGGAATGAACCTACAGGTTGGTAGCACTCCAAGAAGAGAGTTGGAGACCCCTGGACTATTTGGTATTGTATTAGGATCCCCATTAGCTGTTGCGAAAGCAGCAGCTACTCTTCCTGGGGTCCACACAAAACATGAAACATGACATAATACAGACCATTAATAGACAAGAACAGAACACTATGTACACTATACACACTCACACACAAAACCCACACACATTCACATACACTACATATGCACACATGCATACCGACACTCACAAACACATGTACACTCATCATATGCTGCTGCTACTCTATTCTTTATTTGACCACTATTATTATATCCTGATGCCTAGTCACTTTACCCTGCCTTCATGTACTTACAGTGCTTTCAGTGAGTATTCACACCCTTTGACTTTTGCCACATTTTGTTGTTACAAAGTGGGATTAAAATGCATTTAATTTTAAAAAATTGTCATCAATCTACACAAAATACTCTGTCAAAGAAAAATGTGAACATTAAAAATTAATGAAAAATAAAACACTATCTTGATTAGATATGTATTCAACCCCATGAGTCAATGCATGTTAGAAACAGCTTTGAGTCTTTTTGGGTAAGTCTCTAAGAGCTTTGCACACCTGGATTGTACAATATTATATATATTATTATTTTCTAAATTCTTCAAATTCTGTCAAGTTGGTTGTTGACCATTCCTAGACAGCCATTTTCAAGTCTTGCCATAGATTTTAAAGCCGATTTTAAGTTAAAACTAGGCCGCTCGGGAACATTCAATGTCGTCTTGGTTAGCAACTACAGTGTATATTTGGTCTGGTGATTTAGCTTATTGTCCTGCTGAAAGTTGAATTAGTCTCCCAGGATTTTAACTGCGCTTAGCTGCATTCCATTTATTTTTATCCTAAAAAAACTCCCTAGGCCTTGCTGATGACAAGCATACCCATAACATGATGCAGCCACCACCATGCTTGAAAATATGAAGCGTGGTACTCGGTGACATGTTGGATTTGCCCCAAACATAACGGTTTCTATTCAGGATAAAAAGTTAATTGCTTTGCCAAATTTTTTGCGTTATTACTTTAGTGCCTTGTTGCAAACAGGATGCCTGTTTTGGAATAAAAGAAAATCTGTACATGCTTCTTTCTTTTCACTGTCATTTAGGTTAGTATTGTGGACCAACTACAATTTTGTTGATCCATCCTCAGTTTTCTCATATCACAACCATTAAACTCTGTAACTCTTTTTTTAAATCACCATTGGCCTCATGGTGAAATCCCTGAGTTGATTCCTTCTTCTCCGGCAACTGCATTAGGAAAGACACCTGTACAGTGCCTTGCAAAAGTATTCATCCCTCTTGGCGTCTTTCCTATTTTGTTGCATTACAAACTGTAATTTAAATTGATTTCATGTAATGGACATACACAAAATAGTCCAAATTGGTGAAGTGAAATTCAAAAAATAACTTGTTTCAAAAAATTCTAATAAATAAATAACGGAAAAGTGGTGCGTGCATATGTATTCACCCCCTTTGCTATGAAGCTCCTAAATAAGATATGGTGCAACCAATTACCTTCAGAAGTCACATAATTAGTTAAAGTCCACCTGTGTGCATTCTAAGTGTCACATGATCTGCCACATGATCTCAGTGTATATACACCTGTTCTGAAAGGCCCCAGAGTCTGCAACACCACTAAGCAAGGGGCACCACCAAGCAAGTGGCACCATGAAGACCAAAGAGCTCTCCAAACAGGTCAGGGACAAAGTTGTGGAGATGTACAGATCAGGGTTGGGTTATAAAAAAATATCAAACTTTGAACATCCCACGGAGCACCATTTTTAAATCCATTATTAAAAAATTGAAAGAATATGGCACCACAACAAACCTGTCAAGAGAGGGCCTCCCACCAAAACTCACGGACCAGGCAAGGAGGGCATTAATCAGAGAGGCAACAAAGAGACCAAAGATATCCCTGAAGGAGCTGCAAAGCTCCACAGCGGAGATTGGAGTATCTGTCCATAGGACCACTTTAAGCCGTACACTCCACAGAGCTGGGCTTTACAGAAGAGTAGCCAGAAAAAAGCCATTGCTTAAAGAAAAAAATAAGCAAACATGTTTGGTGTTCACCAAAAGGCATGTGGGAGACTCCCCAAACATATGGAAGAAGGTACTCTGGTGAGATTAGACAAAAATTGAGCTTTTTGGCCATCAAAGAAAACGCTATGTCTGGCGCAAACCCAACACCTCTCATCACCCCGAGAACACCATCCCAGGGACTGGGAAACTGGTCAGAATTGAAGGAATGATGGATGGCGCTAAATACAGGGAAATTCTTGAGGGGAAACCTGTTTCAGTCTTCCAGAGATTTGAGACTGGGACAGAGGTTCACCTTCCAGCAGGACAATGACCCTAAGCATACTGCTAAAGCAACACTTGAGTGGTTTAAGGGGAAACATTTAAATGTCTTGGAATGGCCTAGTCAAAGCCCAGACCTCAATCCAATTGATAATCTGTGGTATGACTTAAAGATGGCTGTACACTAGCAGAACCCATCCAATTTGAAGGAGCTGGAGCAGTTTTGCCTTGAAGAATGGGCAAAAATCCCAGTGGCTAGATGTGCCAAGCTTATAGAGACATACCCAAAGAGACTTACAGCTGTAATTGCTGCAAAAGGTGGCTCTACAAAGTATTGACTTTGGGGGGGTGAATAGTTGTGCGCGGTCAAGTTTTCTGTTTTTTTTGTCTTATTTCTTGT